TAAAGAATGACTTTGTTTTTATGAATTACAATTTTAAAATAATAATTTAATTTATTTAATTTGAGGACACACAATGAATAATTTCATTGACCATGTAGCTGAACAAATTTGACCAAAATGTTATTATTAATATTACTTAACCCTTTCACTTTCACAAAAAAAAAAAAAAAAAATTGTCGGAATGAAAATCTAAAATTTTGTATTTAAAACCATATAAAGGCACAGAGTTTAGAAAAAAATCAATTTTTATTTTAACCCTCGGACAGTTTTGTCTGTCTTTCAGCAAAACGGTACATAGGATAACCGGAAATTCGCAAAGAAAGAGAGTAATTTTAAACGTCGAATATATTCGACAAAAACACTGAAGGGGTTAAGCATTTCCAAATGTATTACCCTTACATGCAAAATGAGTGATCTAATCGTATTTCTATATAATCAACATGTATTTACTATTAAAATACCCAAAAATGTTCCAGGTTAAGTTGACGGAATTCTCAGCATGGAAAGCGATCGAAATTTTTAACAAAATCAAAAACTTCCGCAGTCAATTTATATTCAGCAATATCTTAATTTCTACTTTTTTACACTGTGCAACAATATTTCAGGGGTGGAAAGGTCTCTGGGAGTATACTAAGAACCCAGGTATACGAATTCGTCATAGGACAACCTTTTGAGTTATGACCTATGAATTTCTCGCTTGAAAATAAAAATATTTCAGGATATTTTTAAGATGCCATGTTTTGAATCAAATTGATTGAGGAATATTTTTGTAAAACATATACACTCTCTAAATCCTTATGTCACTATGACTTCAATTTTATTAAACCGTAAATTAAATCCCACAAGACGAGATGACATGAAATCGATATTCGTATATTATCAACTTCTGTCAACCTTATTGTAGTTTATGGAGAACTATCGGGTTAGTCTTAAACACTTTATAACACCTATTACATCTTTGGTACACCGTTTACATACAATCGGTCGAAATAGATCCCATATAATCTATATGAAAATCTCAACCGTTTTTAATGAAAATTAGGACATTCTAGACACATTAGGATCGGAGCATTAGGGCATTAGTAAAATATTGTGAAATAGTTTGAACAAATATATGAAAACTTTATCAAAAGCTAAACCGGTCGTAGCTGGTGTGGCACGTAGCGCTGCCTTGTTGTAAGTAACCGTTGCTCAGACCAATACCATTCAACTTGGAGAATTCCATTTTTATTAATCATTTCTCGAAAGCGCATCACTCAATAGCGCAAAATGAATGACCTAATAATGCCGTCCGAAAATAAACAGCACCAAACAGTCGCATGTTGAGGATGGAAAGGCTTTTCAAATTCTCAAATTCGATATAAATTTATTCTATAATACGGATTATTTTTATTTATTTGACTGTATAATTTTTATTGATATCATATGATGGCACGAAACTACCGTTAGAATTGTGAGTAGTGAATGTTTCGACATTTTTGCACGAAGCACAGAGGGGAAATACACCGCAAAAGTTGTGCAAAACTTCAAAAATTAAAACGGTTTAACTTACCAGTAACTCGATTCTTTACCCCGTTCGAAATATTCATCCCAAACTGTCTGGGATTACCGATACTGAAAGAAAAAAAAGGAAATGTAAATTACATAAACAGTAAAGTGAATAATTTTAGCAAAAATTTATATTTGTCAACAAAAAAAAGTTTTCTTAATAGTTTTTGCTTCTTTTTTGTAGAATTTTTAAGATAACAAAAATTTTAAATTGGAGAAAAGTTTGTGTTGCCAGTGTTTCCCAATAGTATTTTTATATGTTGTTTAATGAGCGCAACTATAGAGCAACGGATTCAATAAAAAACCAGCACGGAAAGTAGTAAAGTCGGACTGGGTCGACTATATGATACCCTTTACCACTTTGGATATATGGTACATATGTATCCATACAATGTTCCCTCAAAGGAACATTCTCATGTCTTTCTTTTCCCTATGCTAAATTGAATTCCATTCGGGCAGATTTAAGGTACGTACCATGGGACAAAATTGATATTGTTAAAAATTTAATCTCAATCAGACACCAGTTCGAAATACATATGGACGTTATTTCTGCATATGCATCAATTTCAATAAAACCCAATAACGTCATTCAATTTTCAATTTGATACGTTGTGCAAAATTTCGTGTTAATCGGACAAACATTAGGAGTTTGATGCACAATTTATGTAAAATTGGACGAATATATGTGGGTTTATATGGGAGCTATATCTAAATCTGAACCAATTTTCAGGAGACTTATCACACATCATTCCAGGCTTAATTCAGTACGCTATGCCAAATTTTGTTCAAATCGAAGGATATATAGGGATTTTCTTGCAATATTTATCTACAATCAGACGAACATATATATAAGAGTTATATCTAAATCTGAACCGATTTTTCCAAATTTCAATAGCGTTTGTCCTTGGACCAAATAAATGAGCTGTACCAAATTCGAATAAAAAATGCGATCTGTACTTTGCTTACTATTTAACATATGCATATTCTCAAAAAGAACCATGTGTCTATCACGTTTCCTTTTGCCCGTTACAAACATATGCACAAAGACATAATACCACAGTGTGGTATTATGTCTTTGTTTATACCCTTCACCACAGTGTGGTGAAGGGTATACAAATTGGGCATATTTACATCATTACGAAAATATAATTTTGTTCTCAATAAGGTACATGAAATAAAGATTTTTTTTTTATCCAACCCTAATTTTACCAATACTCATACATAATATGAAAAAAAAAAATCATCTTTTATTAAATGTAATATGAACAATGAGAGCCGGATGGGCAACCATGCCCGCTATTGAAAGGAAGGATTTTCATGTATGCAAATTAAAAGTCTTAAATATAATGTATGCTCATTTACCAGTCGAATAAAACTCGTCGAAATTTGAGGTCGTTTTTGAGCACAGCCACATATAATAAAGGTTTAGCACCTTTATTGTTATTCTGGTGAATTTTCCAACCGTAGTAACTATTATCAAGCATTACAAAGATTTAGTGGGTATACAACTTCTTCACAAAACATTTTCAATATAAGTTCATAAGTAAACGCAATTTCCAAGTCCCGATCGAATTTTTGTACTTTTCTTAACTACGTTTTTGCTTATTTTTAAATTCAATTCGATATCCAGGGAAAACGTAGAATATTTTGTGCATACTTTACATAAAATGATCCAATGGACCGACATTTACTCGAAAGATAATTTTTATGCATTTAAAAATGTTTATAATCGTTTATTTTAAAACTTCTTTATTTTTAATAAAAATAAAAGAAATTGAGATACTTAAAAATTCGTGTTTTTTACTATAAAATGTTCGTACGACACTTTCTGTTACAATTGGATTTATTGAGACCATTGAGAGGCCGAAAGTATATGGAGATCACAGGCCTATATAGAAACTACATGTGTGTATAAATACCAATTGGTATGTATAGAGACCACAGACCTTTATAAAGACTATCGGAATTTAAACAGACCGATTGGAAGATTATAGATACCACAGTCTGCTGAGGGGCCGTATGTCTGTATAAAGACCAATTACTCTGTATAGATAAAACTAGGTTTTATAAACGCCAACTGATCTTTACTAAGACCGATGATCTCTATACTGACCAACTGGTCCTAATTAACCCCTTGTTCTCAAAGCAGACCAATTGGTATTCACCAACCCTTGTTTTCTCTGCACAATTTTTATACCGACATGGGTTATAATGAAAAGGTAGTTAAAAATGAACCCCAAACGACAATTACTCGAAAGATAAAAATATTTAAAATCCTATTTTTGAAATTCCTTTATTTTTTAATAAAAGTAAAATAATTCTCTGTATCTCATTTATGTTTACTTTTATTAAAAACTAAATGAATTTCAAAAATAGGATTTTACATATTTTTATCTTTCGAGTAATTGTCGTTTGGTGCAAATTGCACAATTTTTGTGGGAGCTAGAGAGATTTGAAACTGAAATTTTAATATTTTTACATGAGTACAAATATTTAGTGGTTAGGGTAGTATATCTAGTTACCAATTAAAATCAACTCCATGTATATTTCTTACTTAATTCTTCGTGCTTTGCACAATTTTCTATCGGTTCTTTTTTGAAGGATCCGTACCAAAATTAAAAATAATTGAAACAAATGATTAACATGAGTAGTGAGTTTATAATAAAATTCGGAATAAGTTCCTACCCCCTAGTCAATGTTGGTAGTGCTATCTAACATTATTGATCTTCAGCAATTAATTAACAATGTTTTTGGTTAAAAACAAATACCATGATTAAAACAAAAACATGTTTGTCTTATACAAATGTCATCACTACTTTGTTTTTTGTTTTTAAATATCATGCTGACCACAATTGGTGTACTCCCCAGAGAATTCTGCTGTTCAATTGTTCTTCTTGATATTGTTTTCTTGTTTCAGTGAAAACAAAAATTAAAACAAAAACATATGTTAGTGACCTAGTCCATCAGTGCAGTCAGTGACTTATTGACAACGGGCAATAAATCGTCAATAGGCGTCAATATACACAGGGAATTGTGAGAGTTGCCCAATACCATGACGACGAGTACGACGACGACGCCGCCAATGATGATGATGATGAATGCGATAACCTTTAACCTTAAATTTCTCATTCATTCCATAGAATTGAATGCGGTCCGTGTATTGACTGTGATTCGAATCGAGTGTTCTGGCGCTGATAACAGCCAAACATCATCAACACAGTACGAGTATATTCTTCCATGGTCCAGACTCGATGGGTGTGAGCGGTAAATACACAGTTCAAATTGGACATTGCCAAGGAAAACAATCATCATCAATGAACTATTATTCGGTATTTTTCATAGCCATCGCCACAATACTAATAAAACAAGTGGGTAGCATTTCCATGAATCGAAATTTCATATTTAATGGAAAAGTAATTTAATCATGTGTGTGTGTTTGTTTTTGTTGTATTATTAGGCATTATGTAATTTGGAGAATGATATGAATGGCGATATCTTGCGTCAGTGTTTACAAGATATAAGCCATCATAATGAGACCGTCACTGAACGCCTGCTGGAGAAATTCAATACCTATGCCAATTGGACCCAGGAGGAGATACCCTGTTTTGCCCGGTGTGTGGCGGCCGAAAAGGGCTGGTTTGACATTGAACGTCATCGTTGGAATAAACAAAAAATTGTCGATGATTTGGGTGCAAATATGTATAATTATTGCCGTTATGAATTCAATCGGCGCTTTAGTAATGTCTGCACCTACGCATTCAAGGGCTTAAAATGTTTGAAACAGGTAAGTGTCAGAGTGTGTGAGAAAATTCCTCGCCCATTACAAAGTAACGAATGCATTTTTCCTACCCTCCATCTCTCCCTCAACCACACTGCCTGTGCTGCTGGCTACCATCGATGCATCCATTAGGCTGAATTGAATGTTATTGTTACATATTCGCATTTGGTAACGTGCATTAAGGAGAAGGCCACCAGCATGTCACAATTATTGGAATATTATCATTTTCCGGCTGGCGAACGCATACCCTGCCTGTTCAACTGTTTCGCCAATAAGGCCCAATTATACGATGACAATTATCAGTGGATTGTTAAAAATTGGTTAAAAGCTTTTGGACCGATACGCGATGAATCGGCTAATATTTCCATTTGCCGCATAAGTGATGAGAAGCGCAGCACCATGAACGTGTGTGCCTGGATGTATGATGAGTATAATTGCTGGGAACGTTTGAATTACAACACTAATGGTTCGGTGGCATATCGGCGAGCGTTGCGAAAAATCAGTAATTCCAACAGCATCGAACATAATAATTGAATGGATCGCAATGAATGAATGAACGACCGAACGACCGACAGAATGTCATCACATTAAATGGAGGAAAATCACATATGTGAGATTGTGTGCGTGCGTGCGAGCGAATGTGTGGGTGTTGCTGAATGTGAGTGTGGTTTACAATTAGAGTTTTAAAACAGTATTGGCGTATATTATTTGTTATAAATATACATTGAAAAAACAAAAATAAAAATATAGTTGACTGATTTCCGTAATATTTTATTGAACGAAACAAAATGAAAAACAATATTGAAAATAATGAACTGATATTTTATTTGTACATTTATTTAATAATAATTATATACATATATATATTTTTTAAAAATATCACAACACTTTTTTATTTATTTCAAATTGAAGATTGCAATAACAAATAAAATAATATGTAATGATGGAATGACGCACATAACGTTATTATTTAAAATACATCGTCATCAGATATTGTAATGATTTAAGTGTATAAAATATTTAAAATTCTCACATTTGTTTGGAGGAATCGGGGAGGAAATTTTAGTAATGCGAAGATTTTAGTAAAAAAAAGGTAATAAATATAGTACAAACGTAGCTAGAATATATAAAATTAATATGGAAAAATTAATCAAATTTGAGTTTGAAAATTCGTCTAAAAGTGTACAAATAATTATACACAAATAAATCGTATAAAGGTGGAATTTTGAAATTGTATATGAGGCTTAAAATTGCTTTACTAGGTTAAGATAAATGGCGGAAATTAAAGTATGTAATCTATAGAATTTATTTTAAGAAATATCATTAGAAGTCCTTGTAAAAGTTGAGAGTCTTCTTTAATAAGAACTGTTCGTAGTGTTTTCAGAAGCCAGAAATTCGGCTAGTTCGAACTTTTACATCCTCCACCATGTGGTGTACATTCAACATATCTTTAAAAAGTCTGGACCTTTATATACATTCAATATCATTGTAAAAACCACATTGCATACAGTCAGAACATCAATGTACAGAAAATTAATTATATGTAAAAATTATTTACTTATATTGACAACATTATGGATAAGATTTGTATTCTCCAAGAATCTCATATACCAAATTATAGCCATTTCGATGAGATTAATACCGAAAATGGGGCAGGATCATCATCATCAAAACATGGACTTATATAGACAATTGTTCACATATATTTGTTTAACTCTCCATTTTCAAAACTTAACAAATCAAAACCAAACCTTTAAATATTTCATTAAAAAAGTGGACTTAAACCACTTTCAATATAAACGAATTATATATGGGCAATATTGCCAATTTTTTAACATAGCTGAAGCGGAGGTTCACCCCTTTATAACTCGAGAACTACTTAAGTATATGAAAAAAGTGAATAGTTTTGGGTTAATTGATCTGTCGTTGCAAACTGTTCATGATATTGACCTCCAAACTTTATTTTGGTGGAAGCTGTGTCTACTTTAATGTAAAAAATGTGTAAAAACACGTTGAGGCGAACCAGTTTTTTTATGTTCTCTATCGATTTGTGACTAAGCCACTCATTGCACGGTCTTCGTGTCAAAATAAAACTAGAAGCCAACAAAATGGGGACTACGCCCCTTATGTATCATTTTTCAAAATTTTCACTGCATCTACCTTTAAATGATGCTGACATTTTGAAGCTCGATTTTGAGTGTTTTTTTAATTTTACTTCTAGCTTTAATACGCAAACAGGAATTTATAAAAATCGATTATAAGATTATTGTAGTCGCGAATCTGCGTAATTTGATATGTATTTTGTGTATGTGGTATGCACAGCTTCAGAGTAATACTCATCAGAAGGTGCGAATTTTGTGCGATCAAATTTCTAAAAAACCTATTTTTCGGGCCAAATTTTTAGATCTGTCAACTGAATGATATGGGTACCCGCGATCAATAAGGTTTTTTACGTTTCTGATGATATAAAATCTTCTTCGTGAAAATCCATCTACTAGAACGGCGGGAACTGGCCTTCCAAAAACACGAAATTTGGAAAAAATGTTTTTGAAAATATCGCGGATTTATTTGCGTTCTCTGTGTATCATTTCCGCTTCAATAAATGACCTCATACGGATTTTGATCTTTTTCAAAAAGAGAACTTTAAAAACTTCAGCCAAAAGAGAGATGTACGCAATTTATCTCAAAAATAGATTTGGCTGGCACATCCATGGTTCTTAATGGACCACATTGAAATGGTATAGATCGATGCAATTTTTTGGGGTGCACACCGAAATCGGATGCGCGTTAATGGCATATGGAGTTTTCGGAAATTATTCGCGTTTTACGAGTTTTTGGGTACTTCAATGTAACGTGCGGCACATCTTAGCCGTCAAATGAAATTTCGCAAAATATACATGGATTGGAAGATAAACTTCAGTACTTCCTGGAAACCGCATGCGCATCAAATGATTTTGAGAATTACGCGATTTACACGCAATTTAAAATGTATATTTCATAATACTATTTTATTTTAAGATTTATTCCTATTTATAGAATTCTAAGATTTATCGGAAGGGTCTTGATATAATCCGCAAGGCGTATACTTATACACAAAAAGTGATTATTATTATATATGTCAATTTTTCGGCGAAATTCGGGTAAACTAGCAGAATAACCCAAAAATTGTTTTCTGAAATTTCTTGTATACAATTAAAAAAATAAATATGATGACATTATTTTTTCGAACCAAAAACAAATATTTTTCAATATCTTGTTTTGTTGTCGCTGTGATTTACAAAAAGCTACACGGACTTGTGTGATTTTGATATCATTTGATTCATCATGGTGTTTAGATTATGTAGATATTTTTAAATTAATTTTTAGGTGTGTGTATATCATTAATATAATGAAAATATTGATGTAATCTGCTATATTATTTTTATTTTGCTCATATTTCGCGAATATGTGCAGCTTTATCGTGATTATTATAATATATTCATATTCTTATTTTACGGAGGAAGATATATATCAACGTTTTTGGTCAATATAATAAACGGCGTAATTTTAAGATTTTTTTTCTTTTGCCCAAAATTAAAACCCCGATAACTTTTGCGCGCATCAACCAAAAATTTGATCGCGAACGGTTTCGGAGTCAGAACATTTTTCTCTATATGTGTACCAAAAATCATTGATGTGCCACAAAAACAAAAAAGCTGATTTTTTGAAAATGGAATATTAAAAAATTGGCAATATTGCCCATATATTGCTATTACTCCCTGAAAGTTTTGTATTGGTTACATCGGTTTACTTTTAAGAGGGGTATAATATTATAAAAGATGAACAATTTGGATTTCGAAAACAACATCCTACTATACGCAAGGATCTATGTTGTCCCAAACGGCGGACGATGCGGACGATACAGATATAATGACAAGTTGAAAAGTTTCTAATGCAATTATAAAAAAGATGAAACTGTCATTAAATCATATTAATAAATTTTTCCAAAAATGGAAAATAAAAATAAATGAGGCAAAAACACATGCGATAATTTTTCCGTTTAACAAATCTTCGAAACGAGTCCCAACTGTAACACTGAGATTTTCCAACAACAATATCGACATTCAAACATATGTTAAATATCTTGAAATCAAATTAGACAAAAATCTCAACTTTAGAAATCATGTTATAAATGCATCAGAAAAAGCATGTATAAAATATGTATCCGTCTAATAATGACATATGGCTGTCCAGTGTGAAATGGATTGTGTGCAAAAACGCACATCAAAAAGTTGCAAATTATACAGAATAAAAATCTAAAACTAATCTTTGGTCTTAACAAACGTTTTTCTTTTGTTTTTGCAAAATATTCAGTTTTTCTACCAAAATTCTCCATCGACGGTACCAGGAGGATCTGATCACAACATTTATTGAAAAAGCTGCATTAAATTTGGAACTACGAAATAGAACGTCGAATTATCCATTGATTAAAAATTTGCATAACTAACTAAAGTATATATCTCTACATATATAAAAATTACATGTATGTTCGTGATAACTCAAACTAAACTCAAAAACTACTGCACCGATTGGGACCAAATTGTATGTACATGTTCTATGGGGCGTGAGGAGTGTTTCTGTGTAGTTTGAAGTTCATCCGACAGATGGCGCAATATTTTTTTTTTGTGGTTTTTCACCATAATTCAAGAACTACTGCACCGATTTTGACCAAATATATATGCTCTATGAGGCGTGAGTAGTGTTTTTGTGTTTAATTTTAAGTTCGTCCGACAGATGGCGCGATATATAGCTTCTTTGTGTTTTGCGCTATTAGAGATTGGGTGCTTAATCGGCATGTACCGACGTTAAGTATCATATATAACCTGTTTTCGTGAAAAGTACGTGGGAGACAAACGAAAAAAGAATAACTTATCAAATTGAAGTGAAATTAATTTAAGTCTATTTATAAAAAATGATGTACAAATGTATAGTAACTCATCAATTGAGAACGGCGGCACCGATTAGACTCAAAATTTCTTTCAGTTGTCTCTAATTGAAGAGGGAATGATTTTATGAAAGAAAATTTTTAGAGAAATACGCAAAAATCTTGAAAACATATTTTAAAGGAAGGGCTGGGACATATACCATTATTATTTGGGACATATACCATAAAGTGATACTATACCTACAATTTACATAGAAGTTCCTTATCCTACATGAAATACCGAATTAAAGGCAATGTATACGGTATTTATTACTACTTTCAAAGTACATAAAATCGTACTATGCCAAAATAGCATATATCACCTTTCACCATACTGTGGTACAGGGTATTACGCCTTTGTGCAAAAGGAAACGAGATAGACACATGGTTCCTTTTGACAATATGCATAGAATCACTTTCTGAGTCGATTTATAAATTTCCGTCCGTCTGTTGGTGTTAAATTGTAAACAAATTACATGTCGCATTTATAATCCGATTTGGATGAAATCGGGTTTTTCCCTATTGGGGAAAATCGGTTCAGTTTTATATATAGCTCCTATATATATTTTCGTCCAATTTTATGTAAATATGGCACAGCGTACGAAATTAAGTCTAAAATGATGTGTGCAAAGTTTCGTGAGAATCGGTTCTGATTTAGATATAGCTCCCATATATAGTTTCGTCCGATTTTATGTAAATGGACCATGTACGTACGGAATTAAGTCTAAAATGATGTGTATTGAGGGTATCTGATTGAGATTAAATTTATGTAAATAAAATCGATTTACATAAAATTGTCCCATTATACGCAAACGACTCTAATCTTGCTCGAATGAAATGAAATTTAGCATAGGTTCCAGATCACATATTCAAGTTTGTTCAATGTCATGTCAATGTTCTTTCGAAAAGGCGGAGTCTGTTAGGACACATATTTAGAATATACCCAAAGTGGTGAAGGGTATCATATAGTTGGCCCAGTACGACTTTACTCCTTTCCTTACTGTTTTTTATTGTAGAAATTTGACGTACATTTTTTGTAAATAATTTCTGAAATATATTTTCCATGAATTCGTTAATTTTTACCAAAACAACGTTTGCCGGGTCTGCTAGTATATATATATATATATATATATAATATCACAATAATGTATAAAGTTTTTCCTATATATTTGCCTTAAAATGTATATGACTATAAAGGATCTGTTTACTAATTGAAACATTAAAAAGTAACTTATTTGTTGCAATACTTCTAGTAAATTCTCAAAAACTATTTTATGTATTATAAATACCAATTTAAATGTATATTGATAGATGAAATATTTTAATAAAAAAAAACTTATTAGGGTTGCCCCCATATAACCGTTCCCATCAATATTCGGTATTTTGAAGGTTTTTAGTCGCAATTTCCAACCGAAGAAAAAACTTATTTGTAGAAAAGTTCAATGTAGGTCCATGTTTAGGCGCAGTCTCTATCTATAGGTCCCGCCCCATTTTAGGTATTTACATTGTTCCAAATACATTCTAACGGAAGTGGCTGTACTCTGGCATTCTGGGCAAAGAATTTTCCACTTTTTTGACTTACGGATACTTCAACAACATCGTTGCCGAAAATTAGGTAAATTTTTATATCCTACACAACTATGTTGTCAGGGTATTATTGCTTTGTGCAGCCCCAAAAATTTCTAACACCGCGAAATATTGGTCCTAGACCTTTAAGTGTACCGATCGTCATATCTCGACTAGCTGAGTCGATCTACACATGTGTGTCCGTCCGTCCGTCTTTCCATTATAATTTGTAAACACGATACAGGCCACAGTTATGAGCCAATCTTCGCGAAATTTTGCATGTATGATGGGTTCTGGTCAATGAAGACCCCTATTGTTTTTGGTAAAGATCGGTTAATATTTAGGGGATGAAAAAAAACCGACAAAAATTAAGTATTTGTTCCATATACTGAATTTTAGTCGGTTTTTCTGGTCGCTTTAGAGGCCGCAGTTATGGTCCGAACATGTTGAAATTTTACATAGAGAAGGGGATCGGACCAATGTATAAGCCTGCCTGTTTTGATAAAGTTCGGTCAATATTTAGCGGGTCGAATGGACCCTGAATTTTGTGTGAAAAAATACAAAATATTTATTCTGGGGCGTATATATTTACCCCTGGAGAAGTTGATAGTATAGGAGGAGTCGTAGAATAGTCGTTGGCCTTTAAATTTATACCAATTATATTGTCGTATGTACTCGTGTGTGGGAGTTACACGTAAATATTTACATGTGCTTACGTATTCATATATTATTTAGTAACCCATTACCACATTAGAGGGCGATAATATAGCACGGATCGCTTTGAATTTTTTAAGAGAATCAAGGACAACGCCAATAATTTTCGGTGATGATCAGATAATAATATTGGGATGTAGTGGACCAAAAAATTGTTTTTTGCTTTTTTTCGAGTCGATCTATAGACAAAAATTGAAAGCCGAACATTACAACACAACCCACGGTGAAGGAAATCTGGACAAGTAATTAGAAGGGCTGTACTGAATATTAGTAATAATAATATTTGTTGACCTCTAGTCGGTCATGAGGTTGCAAATATTGTGAAGTATTGCCCAAGCTCAGAATGTAGTACCACAGAAACCACTCACTGGTTTTCTTTTTCTCTTGCGTTATCCTGTCTTGCAGCGAATTAGCGATATGTTTGTAACAGACCAAAGAAAACGAGATAGACACATGATTCCTTTTGAAAATATGTATTCATCTGTCCATGTATTCTTGTAACCAAAGCACATTTCGCATTTATGATCCGAATAAGATAAAATTTGGCACAGCTCACATATTTTTTTCCAAACACAAACCTTATTGAAAGTGGAAATAATCGGTTCAGATTTAGATATAGCTCCCTAAATGATGTCCCTCTTGTTTGCCAGATTGACACGAAATTTCAGCAGACATCATTTTTAAGACTTGTAACTTTTTTTTGAAGACTTAAAGAAGAATGAACATTTTGTTGTTGTTTTTGTCTTGTTTTTTATTAAAGGAAAGGTCTTCTTATCGATGGTGGACATGATCAACTTCCGAATATCAAAATTTCAACGCAATTAGAAATATTACATATTTGGCTGCTCGAAAATTAGGAAACTGGCGGACCTGGGAAAATTAGTTTTGCGAAATAAGAAAGATCGACCGATTACATGTATTTTCACTTGAAATCTAAAGAAAACATTCTAGAGTAGTTATTAGTTTCAATTAAATAAAAATAAAATACTAAATTACACCCAATTTGAAAAAATTGACCCCAATACCGATACTTGGAAAAATTTTACTATGACGGCTATGCTAAATAGTTGTAATAAAGTCAGGAACCAACGAACTTCTCATTGAATATTCCCATCAAACAACTAAGGGAACTAATTAGGATCAGTGGCGATATCCGAAACTATAGTCCCGTCGGCTGACAATGTCATACATTCTCCACTAATAAATAGATTTTTTTGTTTATAAAAACAACAAACTGGGATTTAGCATGGCGATTTTGGAAAACAAAATTCAAATGGTATCCCTAATAACCCTCCAACAATACGGAAGTTTTTATAAAACAATAAACTTGGAATAAGCCTGACTATTTTATCAATGACAGTTAAGCGATATTGATCAACATACCCTTCACCACACTGAGGTACAGGGTATTATGTCTTTGTGCATATGTTTGTAACAGGCAAAAATAATCGAGATAGACCCATGGTTCCTTTTGAGAATATGCATAGAATCACTTTCTGAGTTGATTTATGCATGCCCGTCCGTCCATGTATTTTTGTTAACAAAGTACAGGTCGTATTTATGATCCGATTTGGATGAAATTTAGCACAGGTCACTTAATTGGCCCAAGGACGAACCAGATTTAGATATAGCTCCCATATATATCTTCGTCCGATTTATGGTTAATGTTGTACCAAAGTCCCTATATATCTTTCGATTTGCACGAAATTTGTTATAGCGTAATGGATTAGGTCTAGAATGATGTGTGTTAAGTTTCCTGAGTTTCAGATTTATATATAGCTCCCAACATCCCAAATAACCCGCCAACACTACTATAGCTCCCATATATATCTTCGTCCGATGTAAGGTAAAAGGTGTACCAAAGTCCCTATATATCTTTCGATTTGCACGAAATATGTCATGGAGTAAGGAATTAGGTCTAGAATGATGTGTGTTAAGTTTCGTGAAAATATGTTAAGATTTAGATATAGCTCCTATATACTTTTTCTTCCGATTTTTGTAAACTGTGCACTAAAGACCCAAAGTTTGTCCGATTATCACACAATTTTTTGCAATGAACTGTAGTTAATATAAGTTAATCTCTGGCAAGTATCATTGAAACCGGTTCATTTTCATCCGATTTTACACAAAATTGACACAAATTTTGCACAACGTACTGAAGTAAGTATAACCTAAAAATTAGATATATAAATGCTTCCCCAAGGTGGGTCCAACCGGCACAAAAATTTGCACTACGTACTGAAGTTACTATAAGACAAAGTGCGGCAAGTTTAGTTGAAATCGGTTTAGATTTAGATATAGACTGTTGGCTACAAAATTTTGCACAATGTAGTGAATTTAGTATAGCGTACCGTGTGCAAATTATTGTAAGAATCGCTTCATGTATAGTTTCATCCGATTTTTATTAAATGGATCAACAAAGACCCAAAGGTAGACCGATTTACACAACATTGTGCACAACGACGTCGGTTAGGATTCATATGTTGACTATACCCAAAGTGGTGAAGGGTATCATATAGTCAGCTCCGTCCGACTTTACTACTTTCCTTACTGGTTTTTGTATAAAGATTAGCTGCCAATCAAATTCTAACTATCCCATGAGTAGTAGCATTGTATGTGCAAAATTTCGGATATCTCCCTTAAATATTGTGGTCTACTGTGATTTCAACAATTATAGGGACAGATGTCACTAAGTTTGCAAGAAAATTCTATTCTGGATACGATTTTTATCGAAATGTTAAAAACTGAGCAATAAATTCAATTTACACACATTAATATAGCACTGTTGTATTTATGTGAGAAATCGGTATTACGAAAGTCGTTATAATACGACAAAGCTGCCGTTATAGATTCTGTTGACGACGGCGAACATACAATTAAAAAATAATAATTTTAAATATTTTTTATAACAATATTTACTGATTAATTTTATGACAAATTGTGAAGATTGTGAAGTTCGTTCTCCTTATATGTTACACAGTTGAATTCCAAGCATATGATGCCCCAGCATAATTCTAATTGATGCACATCCAGGACTTTTAAAAATTATTGCTTATTAAATTTCAATATTCTCTTTATTTCAAATTTATTTCTAAACACACATTTCTTACTATTCTATTAACTATTCAATTCTCTTTGGCCGCACTAGCCATGGCATAACATGTAAATTCCTTATACATCCATGCACAAATATTACGATTACGTTTCATAGCCATTGCTTCACAGGCCGCTGTATTTGCATTCTCCACAGATATATTTAATTTTGTATTCAAACCTCGAATATCCCATTGATGCAAGCGATGATTAAATAATTGCAATTTTTCCAAAAAACACCGCGAGTAGCAGGGGATGGGCTCTTTGACGGGGAAACGGCTGTAGTCACCGAACGACTGCCATTCCGATTGATCGAATTTGTGCAGACAATCTTTCATGGCCAGTTTGGCATCCATATCGATGTTGTCCATGCCATCGATTACAACGAACGGATCATTTTCCAGCTAATTCAACGGAAAGGAATTTTAATTTAAATAACTCAGTCGTAAGTTCGTTTATTCAATGAATGATTCCATTTCGAATGAAAACCACCACACACTGATTGCTTGCAAATACTTACATTGACCATACAATGGAAACCTTTGTAGGCAATTTCACACTTATCCTTGCCCTCGGACAATTTGGGTTTACACACTTCATAGACGGAGGCACCAAATTTGCTGATAACTTTATCCTCAATGAAGCCTTCCGTTTCGGTGTAGAAGTCGAACATGTTTTCGAGATAGCAGTTGGTGAAGCAGGGCAATTCTTCGTAGTTAATCGACCAATCTTTAAAACGTTTTAGGCGTTCAGCATTTTCGTAAGAGGCTCCACCATAACGTTCCAAACACTTGCCCAAAACATAACCCTCGTGGCGATCTATATTGGCAGCCACAAAATTCTGTAATTTAAATTTTTTACTCAACAATTTTATTTTGTTCACATGGATTTAATATTTGTTGTTCTTCTTCTTTTCAAATAATAACCTGACACAATAGTATCGCCAATGTGATGATGAATATAGGGCAACACGTTTTCATTTTGCTGACAATACCGTTGTCCGATGCTTGCGGTCAATTAGAAATTCTACCTAAAACTGACTACAAATTTAATTTGGAAAACTTTTTTTGGGTGATATGATTTGATTTGAAAAAGTAATTTTAGCAAATTCTGTTTTAATCTGTTTAGCCCACTTATGTGCACATGTGTGTGTGTGTGAGTGTATGTCATTAGCAAATTGACTACCCTTTTTTAGTACTTAAATAAATTAATATTGTATTTTTTTTAAAATATTTTTATTTTCAATACTTTTTTTGCTGATAAGAAATCTATGTTTAGTACTTTTTTACGCTGCTATTGACTTTGAATACGCTTAAGATTCTGTTATTTGTGGAATAAACAAAACATCATTGACAATTACCAAGTTCATTTACATGTGAAGATGTATATATTTAGATTTATTATTACAGATAAGGCCAATGTTTTTTTGTAAAGGACAAAGGTTGTCGTCTTCACTTGAGAGGGAGAGAAAATGTTAGATTGTATTTCAATTAAATTTATTTTGTTATATGTTAAACTTGCCTATATTTGATAACAAAAATTAAGAGAATGACTAAGGAAATAATGCATTTAATAAGGGTCGAATTAAGTCAAAAAATTTTTTGACCCCGAGAATGGGTGGCGTCCCCTTAAGCTAAATATTAGGTTGGGGAAAAAGGCAGATAGCTGTACTGATAGATTTCTGGTAAAGTAACCATCAAACAATTTCAAAAAATTTCTTTGCTGTTTTTTGTTTGGTGCATTCAGTTGTGAGTTACAGGGTGTTAAAAATGGAGGTGAACAGTTTTTCTTTTATAAAGGCGAAAATGCAAGCCAAGTTGGTGTTAATGGTTCCGATACTGTAACAGTGCAATTGTGATTTCGTAGATTCCGTTCAGGAATTCTTGATGTTAAAGATGCGCCACGCACCTCGCCGGTCGTCGAAAGTGTCAATAAAATTTGAGAAATGATAGTAACATCGCCCAGGAGTAAAAAATCGATCATAACTTTTTTAAATCATTTACAAAAAAAAAAAAAAATGTTTGAAATCTGGATACCTTGAGCTTTATACCAGTAAAATTTTATATCATGTGGGTCAATTAAACAGATGGAAGTGGTGATTATAATAAAGGTGAAAATTTAAGATCATCATCAAAAACGTCATACTTAAAACTCATAAATATGATTTTTTCCTAAAAAAATCAGTTCTTGAACCTAGTGCCACGCAGAGACAGATGATATTTTAATGATTTTAGCACAATCGATATATGTTCTGACATGTTCCAGAATTTTACGAGCGTCTGCATCCGCCCATAAACTTAAGAGTTATTACCGATAATATAAAAACCCTTCACCACTTTGTGTATATTCTACATAGGGAGGGAACACTTTACGAACTTAAGTTAGTGTCTATACGTGAACAGACTAACATCAATCCATGCACATAACTTTCTGCTACCTATGTCAAATTTCACTTTATTCGTGCAGATTTAGAGTCGTTTAAATCTGAACCGATTTTCACGAAACTTAACACAGATCATTCTAGACTAAATTCAGTACACTATGTCAAATTTCGGGCAAATCGGGAGATATGCTATGCCATTGTTGCCCGGAGAAAACGAAATACCAGAAACACTAAATACGGAAAATGTGCGGTAACAAACAAATGTTTAAAAACCTCATAATACAAAACAATTGGTGTACCGATATATGATATTGATATTTTGATTTTTTAGTAGGAATATCAAGTTAGAAAATATAAATTAGGGCCAATTTGGTGAAAAGAGACAATTATTTTTCAAAATATTAAATTATAGCCAATTTTTGATGAAAAACTTGCCCGAAGTACCGAACAATGGGATGTAGGATACAATCTAAAGCTTGTACAGATATTTTGTAGGAAGATTTGATAGCCAATGAAAACCCAATAGAGATATCTCATTTGCTATCCCAATAAGGTCTCAAATTACAGCCAATTCGTTTGAAAAGTGTGCTCAAAGTCTTCCAAATACAGAATATATTCATACCGAATATAGCAAAACGTCGACCGATAATCATATTTTCAAAACATAAGTTGTAATAACAATAAATGTGCACAATTTAAAAGCTATATCGAATTCGGACAAATTTAATATATACTCTACTTCATGCTGGATGGTATAAAACTGCGATCGGTGCGCTTCAAACTACTTGTATGAGATCTCCACAGGTAATGAAATATGCTTTTGTGCGTATGATACCGAAACATAACAGAAATTGAATGTGTGAATCTTCAAAGACGAGTCAAATCCAAAGATTGGTAGAAGAAGCAAATAGGCGTAAAGCAACGTAGGTCCTGTTAATTTTCGGGGAAATAGGGAAACGATGCACTGAGCACCATTTCATATAGCCATAATAACTTCGAACTAAATAAAATCTAGTTTTAATGAAATAGATGTAAATTTTAAAATTTCGTAAACAATTTTTATTCCTTTTGTTTGTAAAAATTTTTAAAACAAAATTATCACAATTTTTCTGTCACAACAAATTCTATTTACAAAATTACCTATTTATATATGTATATCCAATTAAAAATTTAATTCACAGCCCCTGTCAAGGTTTCTTAATTTCCTTTTGGTGTAGCAAAAGCGGCACGGACAACATGACGATTGATTGGCAACCAGCACGAGAACACACGATGGGCAAAAGTACAAACATCCGATTCCCATTCATTGTGATCGATGCATTTTTCCAAACCATGTTGTATAGTACTCAAATATTGATTATTATTTTGTGTGTACTGCTTGTAGATGGCCTTTTCGTCGAAACCTTTCTTTTCGCTAAAGATGCCCATTTTTTCGACCCAACATTTAACGTAGCATTTCGTACGTTTGTGATCGGGGAATTTATACTGCAGATATTGTTCGTAGATTTCATCGGGAACGTTATATTCTTCACGACATTCTTCGTGAGCTTTAAGAGCATCCTCGGGGGTGCGCACCTCAAATTTGGCAGCAGCAAAGGCCTGCTTGAAATAACGTCAAAGCATTTAAATTAAAAACAAATATCCTTATGAATTTTTTGTAAATCTCAAGACTTACCAAAGCCAAACCAAAAACGAAAAGACACACTAGTTGGAATTTCATTGCTGCGAGAATTGTTGTTTATTTCTCAACGTCTTTAGATAAACTGAATCGTCGTGATGCTGAATTATTTCGATATAAAAACTATTGTCTCTTTTTTTTCCAGAAATTGATACCAACCACCATCAACCGGTTTCTTGTATCTGCATACAAATCGTGGTCCGGTTGTTTTTCAAGACTGGTTTCAAACTTGCATAATATGGACCGCAAAGTAAACATAAATGATAACCAAATAGGTGGGGTAAGGCGGCCGGTGCTTGACGTCTGTCTTGTTACCCAGTCAAGGTGCCAGTGTACCAGAGGAGCTTTGCCATTAAGAAAACGACAAGCAAGTTGTGAGGTGAGGCGAAGGAAAATGACAGAAGATGTTTAATTGACTTTAATTAGTTAACGCTCAAATGTCAACATAATTTCATGTGGCAAAATAAAACAAATGATTTACTAATCTCAAATACTCGAATGTAAACAAACGACATAGTGTCTAAGAGAAATACTAAGTGAATAGAAATTGATTTTATTGAAACGAGAAAATTCGATTGTTATTTTGTACTTGTATTATTAGGAGTATTTAAACATATTCCACAAAAATAATAATAATAATATAAAAAATAAAAAAATTCAAAAAACTGCTGCAACATAGGAATTTTGAACAATAAAAAAATGCTTAGCCTACTGAGGAATCTTCTTCTACAGAAAACAAGTGCTCAGCCCACTGAGGAATATATTTTCTATATAAAAAAATGTTCAGCCTACTGAGGAATATCTTTTTCTATAGAAAAAAATGCTCAGCCCACTATGGAATATTTTTTCTATAGAAAAGAATGCTCAGAACCCTCTGAGAATTATTCTATAGAAAAAAATTGCTCAAAACCCCCGAAAAATATTTTTTTTTATAGAAAACCAGTAAGGAAAGTTCAAAAGTCGGACGGGGCTGACTATATGATACCCTTCACCAAATTGGGTACACACATAGATACATAGATAATACAGACATAGAATCTTTTGAGGACCATTGAGATGGTTCGGGCGGAATTAAATGTGCTATCGAGATAGATATTTGAACCAATTGAAAAAACTCCATACACATACCATTCTGAAATCAATGAAAAATTGCATGTCAAACGGGCAGACTTGGATTCTTTGGTGTACCATTTGTATGAAATCGAGTAAAATTATGTATGGGAGCTATATATAAAACACATGGACAAAATTGAGTAACCGTTGTATACACCATTTGTTTTTTGTTATCACTCTATATTCAATTTAATACCCTCCGCCAAATTTCGTGTAAATCGAACAAATATAGGACCTTCGGTACACCATTTAACCACCATGTGCTAAATTTTATGTCAATCGGAGTGGTGAAGGCTATAAAAATATTTCTCAATGGATTGATTATTTTTTAATAAAGAAAAAATATTCCTCAGTGGGCTGATCAATTTTCTTCTATAGAAAAAATATTCCTCAGTGAGTATTTTTTTTTTTTTTTTTTTTTGTAAAGAAAAACCGGTCCTCAGTGTTCTTAAGAAAAAATATTCCTCAGTGAACTGAGCAGTGTTTTTTCTGTAGAGGAAATATTTCTTTGTGGGCTTTGAATTTTTTTTTCTATAGAAAAAATATTCCTCAGTGGCCTGAGCAATTGATCAGCCTCTTAGAATATTTTTTCGATAGAAAAAATTACTTAGCCCACTGAAAACCAGTAAGGAAAGTAGTAAAGTCGCACGGGGCCGACTATATGATATCCTTCACCACTTTGGGTATATTCAATAGATAAATACTAACAGACGTAAGTAAAATGAAATTGAATCCATAAACATGTCATTCTGCAATGATACTAAATTTTTAATATTAACGTATTTTGGTGCACCATTTACATTAAATTGGACGAAAATATGTATGGGAGCTATATCTAAATCTGAACCGATTTTCAGGAAAATTAACACACAACATTATATGCCTAATTCGTTAAGCTGTTCCAAATTTCGTGCAAATCGAAAGATATATAGGGACTTTGGTGGACCATTTACATTAAATCGGACGAAAATATATATGGGAGTTATATCTAAATCTGAACCGATTTTTCCCAATTTCAATAGGGTTCGTCCTTGGGCCAAATAAGTGTACCACAGAGTGGTGAAGGGTATAAAAATTGCTCAGAACCCTCTGAGGAATATTTTTTCTATAGGAAAAAAATTGCTCAGCCCGCTGAGGAATATTTTTCCAATTGGAAAAAAATTGCTCAGCCCACTGAGGAATATTTTTTCGATAG